AGTAATCTGAGAATAAATTGGTCCTGGAGCTTCACCATAGAGGAGCAAGCTAAAAACGCAACCTAAAAAAATATATTTTTGAACGTTATTGTTAATTTAATTCAAACTCATGAAACTTCGAGTTAATTTGGAAATTATAAAATCGACGTTGTTCAAAAGAGTCTTAACCGACGTTTCGGCAATGTTGCCTTCTTCAGGGTACAAGACTAAATACCGTTAAAAATGTCCGTTCCATGGGCTCACGAGCCCGGCATACTCGCGCGTGCTACGTGTGACAGCGTGCGCCGGCGCGGAAGTAAGCAAAAAGTGAGTAGTTCACTTGAAAGTAAAGTCTTTACACTAGGATTCACAGTCCTATACTTAAAAATCAACTTCATCTCGTGCTTCTTACTGTATTCCTGGTTGGCTAGGCCAGCCTTCAATAAGCAACCTTCATGTCCTCCAGTGTATGATTGGCTTAATTGAAGTGGGCGGGTAAGGCAAGTTATTTCTCCCGTTGATGACAACTTTCGGTGCTCTCTAAAGCGGGTCCGCCAACCTGTGCGCAGTCTCCCCGATGTACACTATCGATGGACATTTGGTGCACGAGAGACAAGACCCCCGACCAGTTCATCACCATCGAGGTTTGCTCATAAAGGTTGTTGTTTTTTTCTCGACCCCTGAAGTATTCACTCGTTCCAAAGTAATCAACGCTTTCAAGCGATAGAATTCGTGGATCAACCGTTCAGGAAAAGCTCGCCATCTTTTGCATTAATCTTTCCTAAACTTTGTTCATAAAAAATGCATGGCGCTGGTCACGTCGCGATTTTTATCCTCAGTTTTCACGATCCCCTCCAGGCACGACTGAGACCATGACCCCTTTTGTCGACCACACACGAAAAGTAGTAATTAACGCTTGCATTTTTAAAGTCTCGCTGTTAAGCAATCTCGACTATAGTTAATTATTTTTTCGTCTTCAAGTATTTTCTATGGCATATCTAAAAGAAAAACGAATGAGATAAAAGAAGTTGAAACATGCGATTTAAGAGTGATGTAACTCAGAGATGTTTACAGGCTATGTCAGTTATAAAGAAAATTACAAGCCCTCTCCCTTTTAGCCTGCGAGCAAGCTCTCCTATTTGGGCAAGCGAAGCGAGCGAAGCGAGCCTCGCGAGAACGCGCGAGTGAGGGGCCGAAGAAAGGAGAGCTTGCAACCATCCCTTACAAATTTTCATTTCCACCCCGGAAACCCCGGGACTCCGCAAAGCGTGAAAACTGTCACCGCAAAAGTGCCGCAGATTACAAAAGTGACAACCGCCTGTCAAGTAGCGTAGAATTATTTATTTCCAAATCGCTTTCGCAACAGCATCAAGGCAATGTTTTTAATCACTGATATGTTTTTTTTTTCACGGGGACATCGAGCTTCAGCGTGTCCGCTCGGATAAGAACTCACTACTTTGATTCTTTACTTCGTTTACTTTTGAAAAGTCGTCCATACTGCAGTGTAGAAGACTACTCCCCATCGCAATCACCAACAAAAAAATTATTTGTCCGTCTGGAACTGGAGAATAGCGTTTTCCTGCACTTGGTTCTCTTAAGGTTTACTCCAGTTGCTTCCAACTCTTTCTCTTTTCCTTCTTTACGGTCAAGCTACACAGCTACACTGTCAAGTACATGTTTCTGAATTTTTCTACCCAGCAGAATTCAATCGGGCGAAGAAACCGATGTTGGAAGACAGCGCTTTAATCACTCTTCAATTTCACTCTGCCGGTTTTCAGAACTAAACAAGGCGCTTAACACAAATGAATACAACTGATGAAGGGTTTTCATTTTCCTTCCACAAGAACTACAAACTCGGTCCGACTTATCCTCGACATGCAATATTCTCTTTGCGAGAATTAACGAGCCCGTCTGCATTGAGGGCTGAAACCAAGTTCTCCGTACCAATCTGATCCCCCTGAGAACCAAATTTGACACACAGACGAAGCGGGTGCCAGCTAGGCCTGTTATCAATCAACTTTGATTTCCGGAACGTCATTTTTCAGCCAATGGTATTTCCCTTCGTCTGGGCGAAGTACAAATGAAAATTTGTAAGGGATGGTTGCAAGCTCTCCTTTCCTCTGCCCCTCGCGGCTTCGCCGCTCGCTCGCGCGTTCTCGCGAGACCCGTTTTACTCGCCCAAACAGGAGAGCTTGCTAGCAGGCTATCTCCCTTTCAAAGTTTACCTTTTCTGTCAAGTAAAAATTGAAGAAGTAGAGTGCTGTACAGTATCGCAAATGATCCCTAACCGCAAATGATCCAGAGACCGCAAATGATCCCCAAAATGGACCGTAAATGATCCTCGACCGCAAGTGATCCTCAAAGTCGACCGCAAATGATCCCGAAAGAAAAATGGGAATGACTTGGACTCAAGTCAGCGGATCATCGTGTCGATTATATTATTAATACAATAAGTCAGGGTTAAAAGCTAAATTTTACTTCTCAAATAAATATATGAATAAAAACTAAATGAAAAAAATCATTCAAGAGTAAAAATTAAACGAAGTCGGTAGGCAACATACGACTTTTACCTCGTGGTAAACTGCTGCTTGTTCCAATGACTTTTTTCCGGCTCTGGCGGGTAGATTATACCTCTGAGGAAAACCTGCCTCCTGGATCCGAATAATCATAAGCGATTTTCTTTTAGTCCGTAAATGTGACGGTTTCTTACGATGTTTTGTTACGCGATAACTACCGCTTACCTAGCTTTGGCGTTTCTCCTTACCAGGTTTAGATTCCTGGTAATTGTCTTCAGCAAAGCACAACAAATGAATATACATAAAAACGCTAATATAACTATTCACAACACGTTCATGAGACGTAAGAAAGTTGCTATTTCGATATAAACCTAAACCTGTGGACATTGATAAGTTCGGGGGCATTTTGACTTGTGTTTATGTTAAATCATGTCTTGTCTCGTAACGGGCACCTAAGTTACGAAGAAATGTCTTGCTGTAACACTTCAGAGAAAAATCAAAATGAAATATTCTGGCTGATTAATTTCACGCTTTCAAAAAGATCGGTAAAGTCAATAAAGCTCTTGTTAGGTAGAGGGTGCCCTGCTTTGTATTCCTCAGTAAAAAAGTTGAGCTTCTAGGCGTTAGATAATTTTTCTGCGTAACGTCCTGCCTGTCTTAAATTTTTCAAAAGACGAAACGTTCTTAAAAGAAAATTGAAGCAATCGACAAAGGAAGAAGTATACGGTTAATACCATACCTTTTCAGATTTATTCCATTTTTTTTCTGCCTTGTATAAATTGACCTGAGATGTAGCGTCCTCCCTCCCTTTTTCTTTAAAAGGCGAGAGAAAAAGGTTTCTTTTTTATAATCAGTCCTTTTTTGTAATCACTCCCATAAAATCCATTCCATTCCTCAAGTTTTCACGGGATCATTTGTGGTCGACTTTAGGGATCACTTGCGGTCGAGGATCATTTGCGGTCCATTTTGGGGATCATTTGCGGTCTCGGGATCATTTACTGTTGGAGATCATTTGCGGTACTGTACAGTGCTACATATAATTGAGAAACAATGAAACAATTTTCGTAATTGGTAAATCATCATTGGTCCTAGTTCCAAGGGCTTTTCTCAGATTCTAGAACAAAGGTTAGTTTCTAGGGAAAAAGCCCTGGAAACGAGGATGGGCTGAAGTAGCGAGCAAATGAGATGGCTTGATTTGTAATACGTTGGCCTCATGTTATAAAAATGCACAGAATCACCACCAAAGGGTGTCCAATGGGGGAAGTGTCTCTGAGGCGCTTCTTGGGAATCAACAAAATGTTTGTGTTAATGGAAATCAACTAACAGAGGCCAGGACTTGCCACACAGTATTATAATAGTACATAAACACTTCTTATAAGTGTCCTTTACTAAGTACGAAAATGTACTGATTATTGAGAAAGTCTGCCCGACCATTTAAAGTTTGATTGTGTCGTTTGCTCAAGAGGAATAGATTATCACACATCCTGGATAATGAATTGATTTCTTTTTCTTGTTGGCAAGGTGCTACTTTGTAAGTTAACGAGCTTAGTTTTTTCTAAAACCCTTCCACCGGTTTTGAGGTGGCTTATAAGTCGAGGTAATCACCTCTATGTAATCAAAACATTAAATCTTGCAGCCTAATCATGAAGAGGTGAATGATCACCTGCCACCAATCATTAAAATAAAATCACTAAATAAATAAAGTCTTGCTTCCCCAGGGTCCTTGAATTCTCTTTTTTTATTGTTCCTATCAGTGACGAATTAGCTGTCCATGGCTTCCTGTGTCAGGATAAAATATCTGTACGCAACCGCATCTGCAATCCCCGGGCACAGTGATACGGTATGACGGTGAAATGTTTCCTTAATGCTAAATTTTGAATTATCGAGTTTTGTTGCAAATGAAAGTGACTCTCACATACATATTTGCCTCTACATGTTTTGGGAATAGAACACAATGGAGTGCAGCAGAGTATAACTACAATGTAGCTTTATTTTATGCTCATGAAAGAGGTTTTCAACATATAAATATATGTTTTAAAATTTATTTGCACTCTCAAAGAAACAAAAATCATCGAACAACAAAAATTGTAGCTAGCTTAGAATTACATCAATGGCTTCAGAAGTGCTACTTATTGATACCTCATTCTCCTTTTTAAACACTGTGTTCAGCATCCATAGCGAAGAATCTTTTTTTTCAAATTTCTATCTAAGAATAAAAGCTGAATTTAAATCTTTCCCAGCTATTCGGCCCTTCCGCATTTCCCACCCCTGATACACCTTGTAATAATTTACCCTCTCCCCAGGCCAAAATTAATAATTGTATAACCTTTGTTTTCAGTTTCTCCTGAGTATTGCAGTCGTCCCAAGAAAAATTGGGAGAAAAATTGGGAAATGTGCAAGTTGCAAATGTGTATAGCAAATGCGTGTAGCAAATGTGTTAAAATAGAAAGTAGCCGCGCAGGGTCAGGCGTTGTTGTGTTTTTGCTAAAACTAAAAAGGTTAAATTTATCGAACAAAAAGCTGCCATTTATCACCTTGGGACAGAGGGTAGGGGTTGTCAGTGGAATCATCGCAAGCCAGCACCGAAGGCTTCAGGTTAATGTAGTGTTTTCCTTCCCATATAATAGGATCATTATAAATGCGAAAAACGCCCTTGTTCTGGTAATAACCCCATTTATTGCATTCTCTGTCACTGCCATCATTTCCCCATTTGGAGCAGTTTGGAGCCAGATATGAATTATCGTCCGGAAAGGCTACAAAAGAACCACAGGCGCTTGGCTGGACGGAGGGGTTTTCAGTGAGGTATTGCACAGCTCTTTCTCCATGTGGATCACTTTTAGTCATAATGTGAAATGTCCTTCCTGTCGCCTTCTTTCGACAAAAGTATCGTATTTGCGTGAAGTTTATAAGTTGTTTTAGGTGAAGTATTGCTGTGGTATCAACTCTCACGAGGCCGCTGCTGTAGTTTTGAATCATTTTAAAGTCGTTTTCTCTTATCATTGCTGGAAAAGACGTTGAGTTTCTAACCAAAGTTTGAGCAATCAACGTCCATCCACCTAAAATTAAGAATTGCTTTTTTAATTAAAATTAGTTATCAACGTTTTCGGTTTTGCAGTGGCTTGAAAGTCGGGCCTTTCAACCTAAGCACACAAAAGACATTTCGAATACTAGTTTTCTCTTGCCTTGGACATTAAAAGCGGTGAAAAAAATTGAATTATGTCAGTTAAAATTGACTAGGTTTCTCTAATAAGACTATTTTAATAATGATTGTCGGTTTCACAATTGTGATATTGCAGACTTGTTTGGAAACTAGGAGTCGCAGTAAAACCTAAATGCTCTTAGTAACAAGAGCAGATCTCCTTAAAAACAGGTTGAGTTTGATCGTCCGGGTGAACGTAGTCCTGAATAGGACTGTTGTTGTTGTCAGTGACTGACGTTTCGACAACCTGTGCGGTAGTCATCTTCAGAGTCAAAGTGATTTGTATCACGTCAGTTGATGGTATTATACTCTGGTTATTGATTTGATTGGTCAATTACGTAGTGATGTTATTGGTCGTCTGTCGTCAGTGAAGCCGTGATGTTATTGGCTATGAAGACTCGTAATCAGTAATTGGTGCGTTTCGATCCGTCTATTGTCACAGTTAAACAGTCGTCTATTGTTAGTGAAATTGTCAAGCAAAACTAACTACGAGAGAATGACAATTTGACTAACAATAGACAACTCTTTAAATTTGACAATAGACGGATCGAAACGCACCAATTACTGATTAAGAGTCTTCATAGCCAATAACATCACGGCTTCACTGAAAGACGACCAATAACATCACGACGTAATTGACCAATCAAATCAATAACCAGAGTATAATACCATCAACTGACGTGATACAAATCACTTTGACTCTGAAGATGACTACCGCACAGGTTGTCGAAACGTCAGTCACTGGCAACAGTAACAGTCCTATTCAGGACTACGTTCACCCAGACGATCAAACTCAACCTACTTTTGAAATAACTCCTGGGTTCAAACCTTTCACAGCAGATCTCCTCTTAGAGAGGCAGAATATTATAAGTGCTACAATCCTGATCAAAACGTTTGTGACGTTGTGTCTGTCATACATGAACCATCTCAAGTTAATTCCCCAAACACATTTTAGACATCTTTTTCATGGGGTAGAGGTTAAGGAGAAACCTTAGTAAAACCATGTCTGTAAATGTGAATTGATGATTACATGACTTGCAAATCTATTTAAACTCTCAGGGAAAAGGGGAGTGTCCCAAAACCTCTTTGCCAGAATTTTACTCTTTATATTATATTTAACAATGTACCTTTTATATCAAAATCCTTTAGGGTTTTATTCTTACCTCCGTCTGTTTCCATGTCGCAGAACACTGGGAATGGATCACGTGTGTTACTAGGATCAACCCAATATTGGCCGCTGATTATATCCGTGTGTGAATCTTTAATGTCTTTGCAGGACAAACCAGGAAGATATGGAAACACGCCTAAAGGGGCTTTTAGAAGATTAAATTGAATCGCACTTATTGCATGATGCTGCCTTGACGTTATGGTAAGGTTATACCAGGTTTAAACCATTAATATCCTGGAACCTGAAATGTTCGCCTCTTCTTAAACTACTCAATATGATCAAATAACTGCTTGAAGCGGAGCAATCATTTAGTTTATGTTCTTGATCCGCAGTTCATATATAATTAATGAATGTATTGCATTTTCAAGCTAATTAGCCACCTATCGTTAGGTTTGAAAACTTTAGCAACTTTTGTAAGTGGTCGCTAACTGTTTCTGTCACTGTTTTCTTTAACATTAAGTTGATTTACATTTACAGCTCTATTGCAGTTGAGTTTAATTGTATCATTCATTTAATTACAACATTTTTATTTTCAGCGGCTTCTTAAAGAAAAAGAAAGTTTTGCCTAGTCTCTGGGGTTGGGCATAATGCACAAAATATTTAAGCCTCATTATGTAGTTCTTGTGTGAATCTGTTCGACTCATCTTGGAACATTTCCAGATTTTCGAAGAACAAATAACGAGTGCCCCAAAATGCTGGTGGATGGGCACGCTTGAAATTTGCCTCAAATTTGGGAGGGGTTTTCTTGCACTTAAAAGACAGCCTCTTGAGGTGGTTTTATTTCATCTCTATTGAAACAAGCTAAGTACATTTTACCGGCAACCCAGTTGCATTAATGGGCAGAAAGAAGAACCATACATAATGAAACCCCGATATAAAAACATCAGAGTGGAAAAAACGTTTCTTATAATGAAGGTACATTATATATCGGGATCCTGTGCACAGTGACACATGGGGCGAAGAACTCTTTATTCGTTATACCGGGTGTTCGTTGAATAGGGCGCGTTAAACGCTATAAGGGCGGGGCGAAGAATTCTCTATTGAGGACTTGTTGTATATCAAGGGAGTACGCTATATCGGAGTACTGTACCACGTATTTTACTAAGTAGTCAATCGATAAAAATCGGTATCGATAGAGATCGGTAGCAATCATGTGATTTTTATCGATTGATAACGAACTTCGGTGAAAATTGATAAACTAAATTGCTGTGTCAAATCGTTATTATCGACTTTTCATGATTTTAACTTTTTATAACGGAAGTGCGCCATTGTTGTTTTCTGGCATAAGTTAGATAGTACAGCTAACTAAGAAAACACATCCACGAGTACCAACTTATCGACAATCATGAATATAAGAAATTTCGAAACTGTACGCACAAGTTTCTCTTTAAACCCTTTAGTCTGAACATTGTAACAAAAACGGTTTGGTTTAATTACTTTCAGTTCTCACAGACAAGTATCACGAGAAATACAACCTTAGATAAAGATTTCCTAGCCTGAATTTCAGACATCGATCCCCTCGAGGCGAGGGGATACCTGAAATTCAGGCTAAAAGATTTTCCGAAAAAGATTTTCACCGCTTTCCGTTATTAATGGATAAAAAACCCCTAACTAACAATTTCTATCGATTTCGTTTTTAATTATTGGCTACTTCGGGATACTACACCGACGTTATTTTGAAAGGGCGGTAGGTCTACATTGTGAAAAACGGGGCGCCAATAAACGTGGCCAATATCAGCCATCACAAGAACATTTTACACCTGGTTTAAAAGAAAAGATAAGATTTTTCACATTTTTTTACTGAAAAGATTTTTTTAAAAAAGTGATAATTGTTTGATCCTTGGACTCTCAATTGCATCTCTATTGTCAACAAATTTGCTACTTGCTTTTAATCAGTTTTTATTTTTGGATGAACAGATATATATCTACCAATACATATCAATGAAATCGGTAAAATCGAGATAAATCGTTAAACGAAGCGAGTGTGTCATCGATTTCTACTGATTGATCGATAAATCGATATCAATCAAATCAGATTTACCAGTTTTTATCGATTGACTACTCCGGGGATTATTTTACTCACTATACACATCGTATTTCTCTTACCTCTAAATGGATTCTCCATGTAAACGCTTCCTACTCTTCGAACAAATCTATTTGGCCTTCCTCTATTTGTCCTGTTGTTGATACCACATATGTAAGTGTTGACCTCGTAGTTTATGCTTTGACACCCTGTTGTTCTTTTACATTCTTGAAAACAGCCCCATATGTCCTGCTTTGAGTTAGTGCTGATAACATGTCCCTCCAGTGTGTAATCCTGAACTGAGTATGTTCTACTGCAGACCTGTGCCATGTCCATTTCAGTGCATGCGAGAATACAAATGATACTTATTATGTGTTGCCTTCTTGGGTTGAAGGTCCATACCGCAGACCCAGAGGAATCGGCGTGGGAATGACGACAATCGTCCACCTGCAATAAAAGGCGACACATGGAGGGAAAAGAGTCCTGGGAAAAATAAGGGGCTACTCGTAGTCTGATCTTGATCTGGTGAATTAAGTTAGTTTACAAAACACCCAGAAAAATACATGTGAATCAGGAATTTCAGTTCATGTACGTAACTATTAAAGGACATTAAGTGCATTTTGCAGGTTTTAACGTGTAGTTTTATTCGACTTTTATGCAATGAACATTAGTGATGATCGTGACTTTGTCCATTAAGTACTGTGCAGTGAAGAAGTGTCTTGTAGGATATTAATATTTGCTGCTAAAGTCATTTTCGGAAATTGTAAAAATAAAAATTATAATAATGAAGATTTAAAAAAATAAAAAAATACCTCTTCGAAATGGAGACGGCTTAATTTTGCAATATTAAAAACGTCTTGATTGAAATTTTAACCTCCAAAACCGCCGATAAAACCAGTCCAACCGCTTTTGACGCAAAAGAAATAGCAAGTATAGACGGTTGTTGGCCTTGAGTCAACGAATGCTGAAAGGAAAAGCAAAGGGATATTGAAGTAATAACACTTACCATTTTAAACATTTTGGTTTTTGAGAATTTCCCAAGTTAAGCAGTTGAAAACAGGGAGAAAACTAAGCGGATACAAAATAGTGCAAAAGAAAAAGCCAAACGTCTGTATTAGTTTTACATTAATTAGAAAAACGTACTCAAAATGCAAATGAAGTTTGATCTGTTTTAAGTCATCTTGTTTTTCTTTCTTGTTTAAAGTTCTCAGAGTTCTGTCAGATTGAGTGAAATTGTGAATTATGGTGTGGTTATGTACATACATAAAGGGTCTGATCATTTTCCGACTGTCGGATATCATTACCAGGTAACTGAAAAATGTCATGGGCGCATCTTACAAGATGAATTTGTTATAATCAAAATTATTTACCATGTAGCGGAGCAACCTATTCTGATAGTCTATCCCTACTGAAAAGCCAAAGTATCGAATTGATTCTCACCATTTATCAATGGAAGGTACAGGACAGGGGAGGAAGTCGTGCGAAGGGCATTTTATGCATAAAGGAAGAATCCGTCTTTGAGCCCCTTGGCATCAATAAGTAAGAGATAAATACCGACAACGGATGTATATGGACTAATACCGACGTTCGAGGTATTTATCAAACTTATTTCGTGATATTAGTCCTGGTAGATGGAAAACACGTGTCTGTCTTAATATTATAAAAATTGAACCGAATTTTCGGTCCCTGTTTTACCATGATTGAATAAATAAGACTTTTTGTTCCAGAGAACAAAGCACTAGCCACGTGCACGCTCACACCCTCGTCGAATTAAAAAAAACAATGAAAGTTACAAAATTGTGCGAATTTGACAAGTTATTGAGAAACGTTTTGTGGCGTCCTCTAGGGAGGTTGCTTGGCATTTTTTGTTCAGTTTTTTTTGACCATTTTGTCGACGTGTTCGATTATTCAGTAGGTCGGTCCATGCTTTCATGTTATCATGGAGTTCATAGAGAGCGAGGAAGAGTTTTTTTTCTGACACAAAATTGTTTTTCGCAAAAGTATCGGAGCTTAATTTTAACATGGGAAGGACAGACAGATTCACAGAAACTTTCGCAGACCGTAGAATGATTGCTATCGTTGACGGTGAAGAACTTGAAAAGAGGAAGGCATCTCGAATACCCTAAAATAGACGAATAAATACATCTTAGGCAGTCCGTGAGTCTGGTCTGAATGGGCGGAGGAACGTAACGATTTGATCCGCAAATGACTGGAGACAGTGAGACAATTCCCCAAGTCAATCCCGAGATTTTGAATATCACCGACAAGGACAAACTAAATTATTGGCTCAGCAAATTCGTCGTCGAAGTTTAAATTTGTTTAGAGGAGGAATTTTGTGTCGTCAGAAACAGCAAAGTTGAATTGCAATTAATTACAACGAGAACTTTTATGAGAATTAATTTCCATTATTTTTTTCATTTTGGGGTTTATTTGTATAAAATCCCTCAGTCGAGGGATGTATCTGTATAAATCCCTCAAACGAGGGATTTATACAGATAAATTTCTAATTAATGGTTATGAATTCAATTCATCAGCCCCGCTCTTCCCTGCTACATTTTCAAGCCCTCCCCGGGACCCTTCCCGAACTTTCAGTTTGTTGAATATTCAAGAGGGTTGTACGTCAAATAAAGATTGTTGAATAACAAAAGAAAAGGTGTGAATCATGAAATAACGTCAATACGCGTGATGAGTTATAATTCGCAACTATATTTAGCTTATAAATACCTTAGTCTTACGTACCGAGTTCGAGGGCCGTAGGGTAGGTTACGGACCAAATTTTTTCCCCTCGATTTACCGTAACTTACAGTACGGCCGAGAAAAACGAGGTTGGTAAGATATTTATTATTTCTTAAAGTAAGTAAGTAAGTAAGTAAGTAAGTAAGTAAGTAATTTTTATTTATGCACGGTTGTACAGATTCATCAGGCATGAAATATAAAAAACTAAAAAAACCCAAATTACATTTACTGGGTTTCGCTAAATGGAGTATTAAAATTATTCAGTTAAGTATAATTATACGAAAAAAAGCCTGCTTTCCATGAATGCCGTGCCTTACTTGATATTATAATAACTATGCAAAAGTGACTTAAAATTATGAGGATTCTGCTTGTCTTAAAGTTTCAGGAAGACTATTCTAC